ACGACGCTGGTGGGCGAGCTCCGGGAGTGCCTGGGGTGCTCGACGGGGAAGGGGCTTTCCAAGCCCATCCCCAACAAGACGTCGACCCGAGCAGTTGAGAAACTGCAGCGAGTTTTCGTTGATCTGAGTGGAAAAGCTAGGGTGCAGAGCTTGGGGGGGAAGTGGTACACTCTCATTGTCAAGGATGATTACACAAGGTGGAACCGTGTCTATTTCTGAAGCACAAATCAGACGCAGCTAAGGCATTCGAGAGGTACCTTGCAGAAAACCGGGCAGACGGTGCCCCGTCTGATGTCATGGTCGTGAGATCCGACAATGTAGGAGAGTTTTTCGAGGGGGAGTTCGGCAAGGTGTGCCGGAAGTACTGCATCAAACAGGAGTTCACCCCAGCACACAGCCCAGAATACAACTGTGTAGCTGAGAGAGCACTGGGTCTGATCAAGGATGCAGCACTAGCCGCCCGTATCCAAGCTCCAACATTTTACCCCGGAGCACCGAACTTCCCCTCCCTTTGGGCCGTGGCCATAGCTTGGGCATGCAACGCCCTGAACTGCACCTCCCCCACATCCAATCCAGAGAAGAAATCGCCGTACGAGATGTGGCACGGGCACCCTCCCCCGCCGGGGGCGACGTACCCGTTCCTCAATACTGCCATATACAAGGTCAAGCGCTGAGACAGCCGATCAAGCCCAGCTCCCATGCCCTGGCGATACTGAGGATTTCGCCCACGCGGCCGAAGGCCCCTTCACGGTGCCGCGTGCTCACGCCTACGTCACGACCACTCACGACCACCACGGGATCTTGCAGGAGATGAATCAAGCGATCGAAATCCCCAACACCTACGACGAAGCCATGAGCTCTCCCCAGCGCTAAGAATGGAAAGGATCGTGCAGCAAGAAAATGGACAATTTGCGGAAACACACGTCTACAATCTGGTGCCCCTGAGTAGCATTCCCAAGGGAGAGAAGATCCTCGCAACGAAATTCGTCTTCAAGAAAAAGNACTGCCATATACAAGGTCAAGCGCTGAGACAGCCGATCAAGCCCAGCTCCCATGCCCTGGCGATACTGAGGATTTCGCCCACGCGGCCGAAGGCCCCTTCACGGTGCCGCGTGCTCACGCCTACGTCACGACCACTCACGACCACCACGGGATCTTGCAGGAGATGAATCAAGCGATCGAAATCCCCAACACCTACGACGAAGCCATGAGCTCTCCCCAGCGCTAAGAATGGAAAGGATCGTGCAGCAAGAAAATGGACAATTTGCGGAAACACACGTCTACAATCTGGTGCCCCTGAGTAGCATTCCCAAGGGAGAGAAGATCCTCGCAACGAAATTCGTCTTCAAGAAAAAGCTGGACGGACGCTTGAAAGCTCGCCTGGTAGTCGGAGGACATCGTCAAGAGCCAGGACAGGATAACGGACGTAGCTACGCCCCAGTATGCCGTATCGGGAGCATTCGCATGACGTGCGCCATTGGCTGCCACAACAACTGGCCCATCTACCAACTGGACGTTGTCTGTGCCTTCCTAAACGCCCTCTGCGACAGAGACGTGTACGTCAGACCCGCCCCCGGTACATCCGCCAAGAAGTCCGCGACAGGAGAACTCATGGTGTACAAACCAAAATGGAGCCTCTACGGCCTATTAGTCGCCGGCGCTCTGGAACGACACCCTGGAAGAGTCTCTCACGCTGTTCGGATGGAAAAGGACTCAATCCGACCCCTGCGTGTACGTGTATACCAGCGGCAACATCATCGTGATTCTCACGGTCTACGTAGACGACATTCTCATCACAGGAGGAGACCAGCAGCTCGTGGACCAGAAGAAGAAGGAGCTCACGGATCGATTCGAGATGACCGACATGGGAGAGGTAAAGCNCACGACATTCTCATCACGGGAGGAGACCAGCAGCTAGTGGACCAGAAGAAGGAGCTCACGGATCGATTCGAGATGACCAACATGAGAGAGGTAAAGCGGATCCTCGGGATCGAGGTACAGCGGGACTACGAGCAAGGTGTTCGTGTTTCTGGATACGAGCATGGTAGATCTGCTAGCAGCACGGGGGGGTACGTAGACAGGAGCATGCTTATTCCTGAAAAAGGCTAGAATGTGTGGGCCCCCTTCCCCGAATTCGGGAGGGCCACTTCTTCCCTTCCTTTCCTTGCTCCCGCGGGTGCCTAATCAGAGAGAGTTAAAGCGTGTCTTCTCCTCCCAAGTACGGACATACCAACACACTAGTGTTTATTCCCTTGAGGGAGTCCATTAGGGATGGCGGGCCGCAGAACCGGAGGGAACACTCCGGACGGCTCGCAGGCGGGAGACACAGATAGCAGCGAGCAGATCGACAGCATGCGGTCTGAGATCAGTTCGCTGACACAGCAAATGGGCCAGCTGGTGCAGCTGGNTCCTGAAAAAGGCTAGAATGTGTGGGCCCCCTTCCCCGAATTCGGGAGGGCCACTTCTTCCCTTCCTTTCCTCGCTCCCGCGGGTGCCTAATCAGAGAGAGTTAAAGCGTGTCTTCTCCTCCCAAGTACGGACATACCAACACACTAGTGTTTATTCCCTCGAGGGAGTCCATTAGGGATGGCGGGCCGCAGAACCGGAGGGACCACTCCGGACGGCTCGCAGGCAGGAGACACAAATAGCAGCGAGCAGATCGACAGCATGCGGTCTGAGATCAGTTCGCTGACACAGCAAATGGGCCAGCTGGTGCAGCTGGTCGGAGGACTTGCTGCACGTATAGAGGAGAAGTCCGGCGGTGCCACGGAGGGCGCCGCTGAAAGCGGCGGCGCCGTGGAGAGCGTCGCCACAAGCACTGCAGGTCATTTTGGGACCGTGCAGTACGACGGGAGCGCGCAGGCAGCGGACCTGCGAAGAGAGTCTGGTCCTTCGGGACGACACAGCGGCGAAGTAGGGGGTTCAGACCCCCAAGAGGTGAGAGTAGCCGCTGCTCACAATCAAGCTTGTTTCAGCAGCGCCATGGGAAGTGGTGCTGCTGTCTTCGGTAGTGCGAGCGTGGGATACCAAAGCGTGAAGTACACAGCGCCCACGTTCAGCGGAGACGCCAAGAGCTTTTCTTCGTGGCTAGAGGATTTTTTGATGGCAGCGAACACAGCAAACCTTCTTGAGCTTTTCGAGGAGGGGGGGGCGGAGATCCCCGTAAACAGTGGGCAGAGCAAAGTCCAACTGTCCAGGTTTTACCCGCACGACAAAGTAGAGCTCGCTTTCCACGCGTGGAATTTCCTCCGTGGAGCTCTCAAGGACGAGAAAGACAGGACAATAATGAAGCGAGCTGAGTCGCCCCTGGGGGCGCTCCGTGAGCTGAAGGGGTTGTACGACCCAGAATCGTCCATGCAGCCTGCGGATGAGTTAAAATCCCTGACATCCAAGAAGATCCCGATGGCAGAGAATCCGCAACATGCTCTCAACAGTATGCTCGCCACCGCAGAGTCCCTTTCGAAACGGGGGCTTGATGTTAACGAAACCTTCGTTTTGCACCTCTTCTTGGATGCCCTCTCCAACGAGTACGCTATGACCAAGCACGCCCTCAGACACAAGGAGAGGTTGACAAGGAGTGACGTCCTGAAGGAGGTCACCATCGAATATCGATCGATCATGGAGAAGGTGAAGGCGGGGAAAGGCAAGGGCGCGCGCGGCGCCGAGCAGGCCTACCTCGCCGATGGAGGCGGCCGCCGTGGGCGGTCGTCGTGGCGTGGGGGCGGCCGCCGAGGGCGGTCGTCCTGGCGTGGTCGTGGCGGTGGCCGCAGCGGCGGCCGCGGGGGCGGCGACAGCAGCGGAAAAGGCGGTGGCGGCGTCGAGGAGAGCAAGGGGAGTGGCTCTGGTGGGGCAGATGGCGGCGGTACCGGGGACAAGAAGTTCCCGGGCCGGTGCTTCACGTGTGGCCGTTTCGGACACACGCAGCAGGACTGCACCACCAAGGAGAGCGACTACCTCCCGCAGTGCTCACACTGCGCAGGATGGGGTCACAGCAAGGACAAGTGCGCGACGGAGGAGGCCGTCCTGGCGCAGATCGTCCATGCCGACAGCGACGCCGACTCCGTCGACAACCAGGCCTTCTGCGCGGCGCCGGGCCTGCCAGGCGAGTGTGGTGCTGTTGACCTAGGTCTAGTGGGGGTAACGGAACTAGGCCAGGATGTCATGGTGTACGTGGCTGATACAGCAGCCACGTGCTCCATGTTCCGATGCGCAAACGCGTTCGTGAACTACCGCGAGTGTAGTGGTTGGGTCAAGGGGATCGGAGGCAACAAGGCCCCCGTTCCTCTCCTAGGGTACGGAGACGTGACCGTAGTCTTTCTGACCGAAGGCGGTAGGGTACCAGTGCTAATCCTGAACGGCGCTCATGTGCCCGAGTCCCCCCACAACCTTCTCTCACTGTCGGCGTTGTCCGAGGAAGGCCACACGTATTGCGGCCAGAAGGGGGGCTGACTCTCACTACGAGAGCCGGAGGGAAGGTGTGGTTCCCCCGGACGGGAAAGCTGCTAACTCAAGAAGGCTATCAAATCGAGCCGAAGGTAGACATCGCCTGTGCCGCAACAATTGTTCCTGGCGATGCGAAAGCAGCCACCCCCACTGACCTCAACTACTACCACAATTCGCACGGCCACACGCACGAGGAACTGCTCCAGAAAACGGCGAAACAGCAAGGAGTGCAGCTGACGGGAGGACTGCTGATACCATGCCTCGGCTGTTCGATGTCCAAGGAGCAGGTGAAGCCCATTTCAAAGAGCACGGACACACGCGCAGCTAAGAAATTGTTCCGCCTCTTTCTCGATTTGGGGGGGAAGATGCAGTTCAAAAGCATTGGTGGCAACTGGTACACCCTCATCATCCGAGATGATTGCACCCGCTGGACACGTGTTTTCTTTCTGAAGCACAAGTCTGACGCCGCTGCCGCGTTCGAGCGATATCTGGCGGACGACAGAGCAGAAACCGTCCCGTGTGAGGTGTTTGTCGCACGTACTGACGGCGGCGGAGAATTCCAGGGCCAGTTTGCGGAGGTCTGCCGTAGATACGGCATCAAGCAAGAATTCACGCCCCCCAACATCCCCAAGTACAACGGTGTAGCGGAACGAGCGTTGGGGTTGCTTGCTGATTCTGCGCTTGCCTCCCGCATCCAAGCGAAAGAGATGTTCCCCGACGCACCAGTCAGCCCCGGCTTGTGGGCCGAGGCCATTTCTTGTGCGTGCCACCAGATGAATTGCACCGCCACTACCGGCAACCCTGGATAAAAATCACCGCACGAGCTGTTCCACGGTACGCCGCCGCCGGTCGGGTCTACACACCCGTTCCTCAAACCTCTCGTGTTCAAATCGAGAAGAAAGGCAAAGTCGCAACCCAAGGGCGCGAAAGGATGGTACCTTGGGCCTGCCCACAATCACCCCCGTGACTGCATCCGCTTGTTAACCGAAGCTGGTACCGTGGTCCCGTCCCGAAATTTAACCTGGCGTCACGTGCCCGCCTCTTCGCCCGCTTCCCCGCAGCTGCTGCCTCTCGCAGACGACGAGGAGGGCGGGGAGGACGAGAGCAAGCAGAGCACGTCCCGTCAAGGTGCGGGGGGGGGGAAAGACTCGGAGAGTGAGTCTGATTCCGACCTCGACGTGACGGAGGCTGGGCGAGCGACGCTGCCGGTGCAAGAGAAGGCGCCGGCGGCACCCGGCAACGGGACCAGGGACGCTGGTTCGGGCGTCCCCCTGTCGCCTCCTTCGGGAGGAGGCGACTTCGATGGAAGCAGCAGCGGCAGCAGCAGTAGCAGCGGCCGCAGCAGCAGCAGCAGCAGCAGCAGCAGCAGCAACAGCAACAGCAGCAGCAGCAACGCCGCCGGCGACGACGACGGCGGCGGCGCCAGCGGCAGTGAGCCCGGCGCCTCTGGAGATGGCGGTGGCGGCGGCAGCGAACCCGGCGAAGACTCCGAGCAAGTCGAGGAGTACAAGTTTGATCCCGCCGACAGCCGCTACCCGCCGGGCCGCGAAGGGCGTCGGCTCCTCTGGGGCGCTTCGAAGGAAGGACCGCTGCGCCACGGGCTCGAGCGCGGCCGCACACGAAGGGAGACCCGGGAGCTGCAAGGCCCCGAGGAGCCGCCGGGTCCAGACGCCGAGCCAGACGCCGAGCAAGTGCTGCTGGCGGAGATCATCGTGGACTACGTTTCCAACTCGCTGGTGCGGGAGCGGTACGACGAGGAGCAGGTCAACATCGAGTACCGGCGTGAGATGCATGAGCTGCCGTACGGCACCGAGCTGCAGGAGGAGGCGTTCGGTGCAGAGGCAGGGGACGACGGGTCATCGCAACCTCTTCATGACCCGCAGCTAAGTATCCCCTCGCCCTTCGGCCAGAAGCCAAGTGATGTAGAGTGCGTGCCCTTGACGTACAAGGATGTCCTTAACTCCAAGTACAAGGTGCTGTGGGAAGCAGCCATAGCAAAGGAGTTTGACGGCCACAAGAAGACGGGGACGTTCTCCGAGATTAGCGGTCTGCCCGAGGGGCGTAAGGCCATCAGTGCGAAGTGGATTTTCTCGCACAAGACCAATGAGAAGGGGCTGATTGTCGACTTCAAAGCACGTATGGTTGCGCGTGGTTTTTCTCAGATTCCCGGTGTGGATTTTCACCACTCATCATCCGCATGCCCTTCCGCGGTGTCCATCAAAACTATGGTGGCCGTATCCACCGAGAATGGTAGGAGGCCTGTCCACTGGGACATCAAGCAGGCGTACACACACGCCAAGCTGAAGGAAGAAATCTACCTGAGGCTTCCAGACGGTTGTGGTGTTTGGACTGGCAAGGCGGTGAAAGTCGAGCGTGCTCTGTATGGACTCGAGCAGAGTGGGCGCGAGTGGGGGTTTGAGGCTGCCGATGCCCTGATCTCAAACGGCTACGAGCAGTGCAGGGTGGACCCCTGCATTTTCCGCAAGGTGGTTGACGGAGAAGTCGTAGGTCTCATCGTGATCTACGTGGATGACATCATGTTGTCCGCGACCGAGGAGGAGCGTGAAGAGTTGCTAGCGTCTCTCCAGAAGAGATTCCCTGTGAAGGATCTAGGAGATTGTACCTGGTACGATGGGTGTGCCATTGAGGTGGACCTTGAGAATGGTACCACCAAGCTGTCCCAGACGGCTTATATCGAGAGCATGCTCAACCGCTTCAATGTCACGACCACTGCTCCCACGCCCGCTGTCGTCGACGATGACCTAGGGCCGAAGAGAGACGACGAGTCCTCGGTGGACAAGCCCGTGAGGGAAGCGATCGGATGCCTGATGTGGTTGCTGTTCACGAGGCCGGACATCGCGCTGCCTTTGAACAAGCTGCAGAAGATCGCCCACTCACCCACCGAGAGGATGTGGAACGCGCTTGTGCGGATCATGTCCTACCTCAACGAGACGAAGGACCTCGGGATCACCTACGTCCGCGGATCAGGGCTAGACCTAGACGTGTTCGTCGATTCTAGTTACGCCGACAGCACCGTTGACAGGCGTTCGACGACGGGGCTAGCCGTGACTGTAGGTGGGACCGTAGTGTGCGCATCCACGAAGACACAGCCAGTGACGGCTCAGTCGACCACGGAGGCAGAGTATATTGCAGCCGGGGAGGGCGTGAAGGAAGCGTTGTTCGTGCGTGGTGTTCTGTCGTTCATTGCGCCCGAGACGAGCGGTGCCACGATCAGGGTCCGTGAGGACAACGAGGGGGCTCTCGCGTTGGTGCAGAACCCTTTCAGCTCGGCGAGGAGCAAGCATATCGACGTGCGGTTCCACTTCATCCGCGAGCTCTTCAAGGCGGGCAAGATCACCGCAGATTATGTCTCGACAGAAGAGCAGCACGCCGATATGCTGACCAAGGTCCTTGGTAGGGGCAAGTTGGAGTACCACCGGAAGGCTCTGATGAACCTGCCGATGTAGGGTTCTGGTCTCGTTTTCGTGGCGTTTGTTTTGTTTTGTTCTAGCACTGGGCGCGTCTCGGACCATGGTATGTCACGCAGGAAGCGTTGGGCAGGGGCGTCACCCGCGGCGGGAGCTTAGGGTTTTTGACCAATTGCTTCGGGTGTGTAATCAGCGTGGCCTGTCCAATCTGTCCTGCCTTGGTCCTGCCCTGATAGTGCGGCCGTTGGAATCCTTCGTGATAGCGACGGTTTCTTTTGTGTTTTGAGTTTGTAGGCGAGGGTTATTGATCCGGATGGCCGAGTTTTTCCCTTGCACCCGTTGTTGTTTGAGTAACTTAAGTAGATCTGGAGTATCCATGCCCCACTGATGGTTTGTCAATAGATTGACGAACCGGGGAGGGTGTTCGTGTGTCTGGATACGAGCATGGTAGATCTGCTAGCAGCATGGGGGGGTACGTAGACAGGAGCATGCGTATGCCTGAAAAAGACTCCTATGTGTGGGCCCCCTTCCCCGAATTCGGGAGGGCCACTTCTTCCCTCCCTTTCCTCGCTCCCGCCGGTGCCTAATCAGAGAGAGTTAAAGCGTGTCTTCAGAGGCCAACCCAGAGCACTCCTGGATACGAAGTGGAATTTTTCACGAATCAACCTCAGGGCCAAATCCTAGGACCCACGGACAAGAAAATCTACCAGTCGATGACGGGAAGCATCCTCTACCTGGCCCAGTGCACGCGATTTGACCTCTCTCACGCGGCCCTACAACTGTCCAAGGCCTGCAGCAACCCAGTGCAAGTGAACATGACAGCAGCCAAGCACGTTCTGCGATACCTTCGGGGTAATCCAGTTCTTCCTTTCGCCTACAGCAGAGGACAGTTTCGGCTAGCGGCGTCTGGTCTATGGATTCATCCTTCGGGGCAAACCCCGACAACGGAAGATCTACCACGGGATATCTATTCTTCCTGGCTAGAGGACCTATCAGCTACGGTGCAAAGACTCAAACTCTAACCGCGCAAAGCACGGTCGAAGCCGAGATTCAAGCACATAGCTACTCAGCCAGAGAGGCGGTCTAGCTATATCTCATATTTTATGACGGAACTCAACTTCAAGACCTTCGGATCGGTTCTCATCAACAGCGACAGCACTGGAGCGCTGACAGTGACCGGGAATGCCATGCACTCTCAACGCACGAAGCGATACGCGTCACACAAGAAGGAAATATTTTTGGATACAATGCCAACGGAGGGGTCGAGTTAGAAATGGATATGGTGATGCGGTTGACCATTGTGAATTTGTTGCTTGATCGAGGGTCGTGTCAGGAAAAATCGTACGTCGAGGCCACCAGTAGTCGGACACGGTTTGACCTTTGAATACGATTGCAGCAACTAGTCTTCGTAGCAGTAGAAAATAATCTACCTCTCCGTGGCATGTATTCTCTTGTTCTAGAAATGTTCCGGAAGCATGCTAGGTCAAGGTCGACCGGGACATCTACGTGGAACGTGTGTAGCTTCTGGAAACCTGGAAACTTTTTGAAACTTCTGTAAGCTTCTGGAAGCATTCTAGACCTAGGTTGCACTTGATACTCTTCTAGAACGTAGGAGGGCTTCCAGAACCATTCTAGGAACATTCTAGATCTTTCGTGTGATTGGCTTATTCGTCCGGTATTCGAAGAGAGTGGTGCAGCCCAAAGCTCGCCAACCCTCTCACTCCTCTTCAGTACCAGCAACATCAATCTGACTCGGGAGCCAGCAATTAATCATTTTTTTTCACATTTCCATTCTAACCGCGAGCCGCACAGAGTGTGAACCTCTGAGGTAGGCTACACAGCCTCCTCGCATCTGCAGCATCGTACAGCTGCTAGTGCACAGCGAAATTACGCTGACAAGCATTGCTGATTTGAATCTACTTGACTGTAAATTTTGGATACAGTTTGAGGATTATTTCTGGAATGCAACAGCGCGGGCTCGTACCCGTTGGATAGTTGGAGAGCGGCGTGCGGAGCGTAGTCAGTCGTGTCGGCCACGGGACTGCTTGCCGAGACCCGTTGGTGGCCACGGCGTCCATACCAGCTCAGTCAAGCAGCGTGTGAAAGACTTTGCCTCGCAGATCATTGTATACGGGCTGTAGACTATTGTCCATAATCTGCGCCGCCTGTGAGGGAAGAATGTTCGCGTTCGGCATGATGTGTTCCGGTGTGCTTGTGTCTGTCGGCTGGATTTTCAGCTGTGTGATTCTTCTCCCCTCTCGTTTCCACCCTCGTGTGTCTGTGTGATGTGTTGTTTGCAAGGTCTGTTGTGCATGCTGCAGAAGTCTTATGTACACGAGTATGTCATGGGTGACCCACGCACAATAATCATGGCGATTTTGTCGTGTTGTGAAACAATGATAGTCATTCGTGGTCGCCTCGTCAGATGCTACTGTCTATACTGTCGATGAATATTTTATTTGACCAGATGTGATTTGTGTAGACTAAGCAAAATGATCCACGGACCCCCCTTCATCACGCAAGCACCACGCAACCACGATACTCCCTAAGTAGAAGCTGGTCTCGGTACAACCCGTGGTTGCACAATCAGTCGAGCGAGCAACAGGTCTTGGAGGCGGGCGGGTGCAGTTCTGTGGCACTGGGGGGGTGCCGTGCGGATGAACAGGGGATTGGGGCAAGTCGGTGATGGTTCGTCGGCTCGTTCCGGGGAAAGTCTGTAAGTCCCTTTTCACCATAGAGGGAGGGGCTCTACTTTAACACCGCCTGCTTTTACTGCTTCTTTTTCCGATTCATCGTGAGAGAGGTGAGAGATGAGACCGCCGAGCGCCATCCTTTTCGCGGGACTGCCAAAATTGAAGCTTACCCGCGACTACGTTCCGCGTTTCAAAACTGCAAATACCCCCCAGGGAACCGGAAACCAAGATATAACCTCCAACCCAAACCATCCTCACGCCTGCCGCCCTCTCATTCTCTCTCGCCCATGCCACCAATGCTGCAAATATCGCTGATTCACTACAGCTGTACATAGCCAAGCATTGGTGATTGGGGTGTACGCGGACGACCCCGATGGGTGATGGATTCATGTAGTGTCGGTGTCAGGTCACCGGTTCCTTCATAGAAGCTTTCAAAGTTATTAATGAGACCTCACGGCCGCCATGGAAGCTGCCCTCTTTTCCCCACGGAACGGCAACCTTGTGGAAGCGTGTGTGGGCGGTATTTGCCTCATTCCACACGTGTTTATAGTAGGGTAACCGTAACTGCCTTACGAGCAATTGTCTGGGGTACCTGCTTCCTCAACGGAGCTACCTTGGCAAGGGCTCGCCGCGCCTTTAGGGAGGTCAAACAACGTTCATGCTGCAGTTTTTGTGCCGATGTAGCTCCGTCGCTCATCGTAATCGGTGCCCCTAGGAAATATTTGGTCACCGACACGACAATATATTGATGCCTGGTAGATTCACTGTTCAACGTGTGCATGACGTTCGTATCTGGGTGCTCGCATTCCTTTTTCTGGCACCTCGTGCGTGCTCTTCGGCGTTTCAGTTCCAGGGAGTTAGCTGCGTTTGACATGGTGGTTTCCTCGCGGCGAGAACCACTGGATTTTCGTTGGAGGCCCGCAACTATTTACCAGAGTCACGCCAATATCGGCGGGTAACGCCGTGAAGGCGGGGATTCCATCGCAACTACCCTCCGGAAACTTGTTGGCACACGTGATGAAGCGCCGATGCCATCCCTCCAACTTCCGTGCTCAAGCCCACCCACTCAGCTGTAGTGGTGGCCACCGACATTGCGGCACTCGTTATTTCTTTTGCGTCTGGAAATAGCCGCGTAGGATACCGACAGGGATGCTCTTAGGGCTCGCGGAGCCTCATGAGATTTCAACGCCGCAACAAAAAACCCTCAACAATATCCTTCATGGTGCAGTCTGTACATTGACCAACTCCATCTCAATGCTTAACGGTTGATGTTCGTGCATTGCCTCTCCCTTGTTCGAAAGGGCCCGTGCGAAACGTACACTACTTCAAGGAAATGGGCCGAGGACACATACGCTTGCCTCGCGCTGCACTTGCAGCTACTAGAGGCACAGGAGCGAAGAGCGAAGCGGGCAATCATTCAATATTGCAACTGCACTCGGCCGAGAGCGCTGTTCCTCCTATTCAACTCCAACTAATGTGGCGACACAAATCCCCTGCGCTATCAAAAGTACGTTTGCAAGGCTTCGCGTATTCTCCCGAATCATGTGGTGCTCAGGGTTGTGGCGTGGCCATGTAGCAACTTTGCAAGGCTTCATACGTCCACACAGGACGCTCGGCTTGTTTCTTTCGCTAGCAGTATACAGCAACGCTGCGTCACGGAATGTACGGCCTCCGTGTTTCTGCGAGCAACAGCAGCTTGTCTGTTCAACCCTTTTGGCAGGGTACGATACCCCACGTTGACCAACATTCGCGCGGCGTGAAACCAGGTGACTTGTACCAGTAGACTGTGATACCAAGTCTTCGAGAACCACTACTCGCCTCAAATCCCTGCGTACTCTCCGACAACGTTCACACTACAAATAACAACGAACGGCTGCATGGTCTCAACACAATAAAGAGGCACAATCAAACAACGGCTAGGAAACATTTATCCAAGAGGAGGATACCTCGAAGGAACCCCTTCCGCACCGAGACACATGTCGCGGAGTATGCCATGCAGCGCATTCACTTCACAGTACCCCGTCAGACGAAACCACAATGAGACAAGAACACTCTAGGTCAACACTGATGTGTCTGATTAGCCCAACCCACAATGACTTCGTCTGGGGAGCAGGCCACAACTCGTATATACATCTCCAAGGAACTACCACGAGTGAAGCTACACTGCTACGCGTACACGCCCATCAAGACCAGTATCATGCGGTCGAGAGATCGATCGGGTGAAAAGGGTACACGAAATACCTACATACATACCTATCCTGCTTTCGCTCTCTACTTCATATAGCGAGGGAAATTTAAGCGAACAGGTCGAACAAATCTGTGCCAAACACGCCGCTGCCATCCTCGCACTCCGGGCAAACGGGCTCGGGCACCCTCAATATCCGACGCGTAACGATTGGGCACGCCACCAGCCGGCTGCAAGACGAAACTGAAGATTCGAGCTTGCACTCGCATCCATCCAGTATTCTCCCCATACCCCCTCCCGAGCACCCTTCGTTTTTTCCGTCTTTCCCTGCCATCGTCCCTGGCGGCAGTTTGAGCCTGGCCTCCATCCTCTGCAATTCCTCTTCGAACGCTTCCCCGTTGAAGGCAACCCAGTCCACCGCGTTGCTCAGGATAGCCTCCATGTCGCACTCGCACATCTGGGACGCGCGACCAATCAGCATTGGTGCCACCACAAGGGCCACGACGGCACCGAATGCTGCGGCGTCTTCGTTGGCCGCCACGCGGCTCTCCCGCGGTCGCTTCAGCAGAGACTCGCGTTCTTGCGCTGCCTTCTCTGCGCCAGCAGCGCCGCTGAAGTGGTCGGCGAACCTCTGGGCACACACCCGTCGGTGGTTAGCAGACTCCCAGGCGTCGGCCATCCGATCAATTCTCCGGAGTTGCAGGGTTGCCGATGCCGCGCACGTCGGAGGGAGTGAGTTCGCCACCAGGGCAGCGGAGGCCCGGGTGTCAATGTGCTTGCGGTAGGCGGCGTACGCGCGGTCAAACGCTGAAGGGGAAGTCGAGGCTGGAGGTGTGGTTGAGGAGTGAGAAGCGTCGACGTCGTCGCGGTTGTCGTGCATACGCTCCCACGCAGCGGCTAGCTCGGCATCGGCTTCCTCTACGGCTTTCAAAACTTCTGCTCCATTGCGGCGGATGAAGGCCTTCATCATCGCCCCTTGCTCCTGGCAAGCCTACCGACAAGACCCAAACAAAAGGTCAGGGTTAACGCGGAAACGAATTGAACGCATCCTTGTTTGCGTTCACGAACAAGGGGGAAGAAAAGGTGAGCTGCCACGACGCCCCATCCCCGTGCCTGAAAGGATGGTAGATGCAGTACGTAACAGCGAGGTTTGGTGGAGTGATGCGTTTGACGATCGCCTTATCTTGGTAGGGTTCGTGGGCCTGTGCCTATGCTGCCCCAGAACGCAGACGCAAAGTCAGACAGAGGCAGGTACCGAGATACTAAATACAGGAAAAGC